GTCAGTAGGTTCCCCTCGCAGTCCCCAGCGTTGTTCGTCAGGTGAGTGAGTTCCTTTGAATATTACCTACTGACTGCTTCTATATGCACTTATTTTAAAAATTTATTTCTGATTTGTCTTTATACTTACGCTACAGCTTTCTTCCGAGTTTAAATTGTGAGTTTGTTTTCTGTCAGTGGCGCTATGAAATGTTCCGGTCATACTTTTTTTTCGTAATATGAGGGTTCGTTATCTCTGATATATCTGTGACGAGTTTCGAGAGCTTCCCTACCACAACAACCCGGCCCCTATGGTCAAGCTTGTTTGGTGTTTGCTTGGCCAGCCAGGCTGTTGCTGCTGTCTGTCGGTTGTTTAAGAAATGGTATAGAATGGCGAAATATTTCCTCAGTAAGGCATCTTTACACTGGACATGTATTGTTTCTCATTTATACGTGTTTATTGATTAGATAATGGTCCAAGTCGGACCGAAACGTCGTCAAAAATTTCTATGTGCGGGTTATTTGTCCATTGTTCCAGTGACGGTATTGTGACTTTATTCTTTCCTATACAAGTTTGTTATTATGGTTCTTTTTTCTTTTAATCAGCCAAACGAGAGCATTTTTCAGTTTGTGTCCGGATGGTTACGAGACATTGATCAGACTGCCGCGCTTGTGCTCTGCTTGAGCACAGGAAACACATCCTGATACCGACAGCTTGTTCACAAAGACATTTACTGAGGAAACGTTTCACTGTAAGTGGATTCTTCAGTCCTGGGACTGAAGAAGTCAGAAGTACCGAAGAGTCAGTAGCTCTCTTGAAGTCATTCTTGAATAAGTCATTTATTAGAAGCTTTTATTGGGAGAACGCTTCTTTCTCTCTCTTGGTTAAGCTTTATCCTGCTCGAAATATAGTCCCAGTAAAGCTTATTCTGCATATTTTGTCTTGATTCCCATTTGCTGAGCTTTGAAGAATTGGTGAAAGTGAATCTAGAGAGAAGAGGGGAAAACTGAAGTACGGAGGAGAGGAGATTAGGTAAGAGTGAGAGTTGTACTGAAAAAGAACATGCAATGGAAGAGAGAAAGAAAGGAGAGATAACTCAGGAGATAGAGGAGGAAGCAGTTTATTCAAAATCATAAAGAGGCCGAAAGGGGGTAAAAAAAAACAAAAAACAAAGACAGCATCTAAAAATATAGAGCAAGACGGATACGAGAGAGCAGGGAGGAAAGCAACGCAGGAAATTAATGTCCTTTGATATAAATAGGGTCTCAGCTTCATATATAGTATTTAGAAAGTCAAAAGCAAAGGACTAACCCAAGTTGCTCCACAGCCACATAAGGAAGACAACAGTCACGCGCCAGGTATAATGGATGACGGAGGAAGCAGCAGTCGAGCACATCCTCCTAAAGCAATCATTAGTGTTTCACTCTGGAGACCGTGAAACAATGAGAGCTCACCACAGGGTCATTATGAAATGTTTCAGTTTCGGAATGACGAGACCGAGGAATGAGCTGGATGTGGAATGAGATGTGGTGGCGATCAAGATGCCTGGGACGAGTAATGCCGGCGAATTGAAGGTTAAACGTCGGTGCCAGGAGTTAGTACTCAACTTCTCCCTCCCCCCCCCACACACATACACACCAGTCTATCATCCCTTCCAGTTCAATTACAACTTATTGGTGTATGGTGTTTGACTTCAGTGGAAGCGAGAGAGAGAGAGAGAGAGAGAGAGAGAGAGAGAGAGAGAGAGAGAGAGAGAGAGAGAGAGAGAGAGAGAGAGAGAGAGAGAGAGAGAGAGAGAGAGGGAGAGAGAGGGAGAGAGAGAGAGAGAGAGAGAGAGAGAGAGAGAGGAGAGAAGAGAGAGAGAGAGAGAGAGAGAAATTTAGTAAAAGATAATGCTAGGGAAGGTTTTTTAAATGAGATGAGAGGGGGAAACAACTCTTAGCTTGTAAATAAAGGTAAGAAATCTTAGCCTAACTCTGAATAAACCCTTGCATAAATAGAGAGAGAGAGAGAGAGAGAGAGAGAGAGAGACGGACGGGCAGACAGAAGGAATTAAATAGTAAGAAGGATTAAGAGAAAGGGAAGGCAGAAGGAATAGGTGGAGAGGGCAGAATGAAGAGGAAAGACAAGTATTGTTTTTTCATTAGCATCACTAGGTAGAGGAATACCTTTTACCCAACACTCCAGTACTTCCAGCAGCTGCTGGAGTTCTCAACACATAGAACTGGAGTGTTTTCTTCGCTGGATGATTTTGTTGTAGGTACTGGAATCTTCTAACACAGGTAACAATGTTCACTGGTGGGTGGGAAGAGCAGGGGAGTGAGGAAGCTGGCCAGTCTTGTTTCTCCACACCAGGAAATCGAACCAAGAGGCTTGCGATTGTGAGTGGAATGCTCTCACCCATGAGCTACTCGGCACTATCACAACAGCAGGATGCAAGGAGAGGAGGGAGGGGCAGAGATACCTATGTCAGGGACTGGATACCCGCATGGGCAGCTGCCACCAATCTTGCTTAAACTGTCAACTTTCTGGCCTGAGAAACTACCCACTCCTCCCCCAACCCCTCCCTCTATCTCCTCTTCTCTCCTCAATCTCACCCCACTCTCCCCACACTCTCCCCACACTCTCTCCACACTCTATCCACACTCTCACCCCACTCTCCCCACACTCTCCCCACACTCTCCCCACACTCATACCCTGCTCATAGAGCACTTGTTTCCATTATATAAATATCTCATAGAATAGAGTAGCAGCGCACTGCTGGTGTATCCAATTTTACTAAAAAAATTACCCAGCTCTCCCCATCTCCCACCCATTATCTTCCCACTACCAATCTCCCCCCTCCTAATCATTTCTTCCTCCAACCCTCCCACTCATTATCTTCTCCATCTCAATCCATTATCTTCCCCATCCCTCTCCCACCCATTATCTTCCTCCAATATACCACCTCCATCCCCATTATCTACTCCCCACTACTCCCACTTCATACATCCCCCACAACCACCTCCACCATATACCCCCACCTCCTCCTCACCCCATTATCTACCCTCACCTCACCATCCCCATTATCACTCACACCTCACCACTCCATCTCCCCCACTCTCACCACCACTCACCACCACTCACCACACCCTCACCACCCTAATCACCCCTCACCACCCTTAACCCTCTACCACCCCATACCCCCACTCACCACACCCTCACACCCCTCATCACTCACCACCCCCACCACCCCCCTCACCACCCCTCCCCACCCCCCTCACACCCCTCACCACCCCACACCACCCCCGCCACCCCACACTCCCCTCACCACCCCTAACCCTCACCCCCCCCTCACCACCCACCCCTCACCACCCCTCACCACCCTTACCCCTCACAACCCCTCACCACCCCTTACCCCTCGCCACCACTCACCACCCCTACCACCACTCACCACTCCGCACTACCCCTCACCACCCCTCACTCACCACCACCACTACCGCACTACTCCTCACCACCCCTCACCACCACCTCACCACCCCTCACCACCACTATCACCCCCCCTCACCACTCCTTAACCCTCACCACCCCCATACCCTTCACCACCCCTCACCACCCCTCATCACCCCTCACCACTCACCACCCCTCATCACCCCTCACCACCCCCTCACACCCCTCACCACCCCTCACCACCCCCTCACCACCCTCACCACCCTCCCCTCACCCTCACCCCCCTCACCACCCCCTACCACCCCTCACCACCCTCACCACCCCTCACTCACCACCCCTCACCACCCTCACCACCCCTCACCACCCCTCACCACCCCATCACCACCCTCACCACCCCTCACCACACACCTCACCACCCTCACCCCTCACACACACCCCCACCACCCCTCACCACCCTCACCACCCCACCACCCTCACCACCCCTCCACCACCCCCCTCACCACCCCTCACCACCCACCCCTCACCACCACCTCACCACCCCTCACCACCCCTCACCACTCCCTCACCACCCCTCACCACCCCACCACCCCTCACCACTCCTCACCACCCTCACCACCCCTCACACACCCTCACACACCCCTACACCCTACCCCCTCACCACCCCTCACCACTCCTCACCACCCTCACACCCCTCACCACCCTCACCACCCTCACCACCCTCACCCCTCCCACTCTCACCCCCTCACCACCCCTCACCACCCCTCACCACCCCTCACCACCCCCCCCTCACCACCCTCACCCTCACCAACCACCCTCACCACCCCTCACCACCCCTCACCACCCCTCACCACCCTCACACCTCACCACTCCTCACCACCTCACCACCCCTCATCACCCCTCACCCCACCCCCCTCACCACCCCTCACTCACCCCTCACCACCCCTCATCACCCCTCACCACCCTCACCACCCCTCACCACCCTCACCCCTCACCACTCCATCACCACCCTCCCACCACCCCTCACCACCCCTCACCACCCCTCACCACCCTCACACCCCCCTCACCACCTCACCCTCACCACCCTCACCACCCCCCATCACCCCTCACTCACCCCTCACCACCCCTCACCACCCCTCACCACCCCTCACCACCCCTCACCACCCTCACCACACCCTCACCAACCCCATCACCACCCCTCACCACCCCTCACCACCCTCACCCCCCTCACCACCCTCACCATCACCTCACCACCCCTCACCACCCCTCACCACCCCTCACCACTCCCTCACCACCCACTCCCACCCTCACCACCCTCACCACCCCTCACCACCCCTCACCCACACCCTCACCACCCCTCACCACTCCTCACCACCCCTCACCACCCCTCACCCCCTCACCACCCTCACACCACTCACCACCCTCACCACCCCTCCCACCCCTCACACTCCTCACCACTCCTCATCCACCCTCACCACCCCTCACCACCCCTCACCACTCCTCACCACTCCTCACCACCAACTCACCACTCCTCACCCCTCACCACCCTCACACACCCTCACCACCCCTCACCACCCCCTCACACCCCCACCACC